CAGACAGGCATAAGAGAGAGAGAGAGAGCGATAAAGAACATGGATGCGACGGCGCACGTACAAGCAGGGAAATTACAAGATCCCTTCACTGCCAAGCCACCAATCCCCACGCGAGCGAATAATGTGCAGAACAAAACAGGGCAACGGGTGCACACGCCGCACCCCACGCGTGTGTGTTGCTCCTGCCGCCGCTGCGGTGTGGCCTCCACGCCCGCACTGCTCTTCCATAGGACGCTCCACATGTATCGACAAGAGAACCAACAAAAAACACAAGGCGAGACACGATGAAGGACAGGTTGGTGGGGTGGCAAGACGGACAGACAGAGACAGAGAGAGAAAGGCACGAGAGAGCAGCCGGGACAATCTCCGCACACCACACCAGCCGCCCCCATCGCGCCAAGCACCCCCCCCCGCCATGCCACCGCATTGCGACTCAATACGAACGAAAAAAAAAAACAATTAACTAAAAGGAAAAAAAGGACCCACTCACAGAATGTAGCATGTTGCTCTTCATCCGCCGCCCCCATCTGCACTTGTCGCAAAGTAAAAAACAAAAAAACACAGACAAAAAAAACACATGCAAAGGGTGAATATATTCCAAGCTTTGAAAAGCATAACTAAGACAATAAGAAACATGAGCCTTCATTGTTGTTGATTTTTGTTTTTTTTTTGTTATTTCTTCTCCGTCTTTCTCCTCCTTGCGCAATACTAAGTAAGCTCATATCGCTTGTACATCAACGACCCCACGGCAACCGCCAGCATCCCGCTCACCATCGCCGAAAGCGCACCAGCCTCCCCCATCTCCACAGGCAGCCGCGCCACTACATAACCCGCAACGGAACGTAGCACCGGAGTTGTCTGCCCCTTTGCCTCGCCGGGATCTGATAATCTACCACACGAAGCACTGCCAAATTCGACAAACCTGCTGCCAAGTTGGGCCCCTTTCTCACCCCCCGGTTCACCCACAGGTAACTCGCACACCCTGCCGCCACTACCTACGGGAACAGCACACTTCGCATCAGCCACCAACTGCGCAACCCTATTTGGGATAACATCACCACAATCCTTACGGAGTGCATCCAGGACAGGCACCAAGGCATCCATGGCTTCCACACACCTCTCAAGTTGGCAACCCAATGCCTCATTAGCTTCCTTGGATTCCTGCAACTGGCGTTGCACCGAAGCCAGGGCATTCTCCCGCCTCCGCAGATGGCGCTCCAATAATCTATTCGCTTCCTTGCCCTCCTGCAGCTGGCGCTCCAGCTCCTTTACATGGGACAGCGGTGCAGTGTCTGTAGTGGACTCATCGCTCTCCCACAGCTGGTGCTGCACAGCAGCCAGGGCCTTCTCCAGCTCCTGCAGCTGGTGCTGCACAGCAGCCATGGCATTCTCACGCTCCCGCAGCTGGCGCTCCAATAATTCATTGGCTTCCTTGCCCTCCTGCANCTGGCGCTCCAGCTCCTTTACATGGGACAGCGGTGCAGTGTCTGTAGTGGACTCATCGCTCTCCCGCAGCTGGTGCTGCACAGCAGCCAGGGCATTCTCACGCTCCTGCAGCTGGCGCTCCAATAATTCATTGGCTTCCTTGCCCTCCCGCAGCTGGCGCTCCAATAATTCATTGGCTTCCTTGCCCTCCTGCAGCTGGCGCTCCAATAATTCATTGGCTTCCTTGCCCTCCTGCAGCTGGCGCTCCAACTCATTGACATGGGAGAGTGGCGCAGTGTCTTTAATGGACTCATCCCTCTCTCGCAGCTGGTGCTGCACAGCAGCCAGGGCCTTCTCACGCTCCTGCAGCTGGTGCTGCACAGCAGCCAGGGCCTTCTCCAGCTCCTGCAGCTGGCGCTCCAATAATTCATTGGCTTCCTTGCCCTCCTGCAGCTGGCGCTCCAATAATTCATTGGCTTCCTTGCCCTCCTGCAGCTGGCGCTCCAGCTCCTTTACATNGCAGCTGGCGCTCCAATAATTCATTGGCTTCCTTGCCCTCCTGCAGCTGGCGCTCCAGCTCCTTTACATGGGACAGCGGTGCAGTGTCTGTAGTGGACTCATCGCTCTCCCGCAGCTGGTGCTGCACAGCAGCCAGGGCATTCTCACGCTCCTGCAGCTGGCGCTCCAATAATTCATTGGCTTCCTTGCCCTCCTGCAGCTGGCGCTCCAACTCCTTTACATGGGACAGCGGTGCAGTGTCTTCTGTTGCCTCCGTTCTTTCCTGCGGTTGGCGTTGAACAACAATGGTGGTCTTCCCCAGCTCCCGCAGCTGGCGCTCCAATAATTCATTGGCTTCTTTGTCCTCCTGCAGCTGGTGCCGCACAGCAGCCAGGGCATTCTCTCGCTCCTGCAGCTGGCGCTCCAACTCCTTGACATGAGAAAGCAACGCAGTGTCTGTGACGGCCTCCGTTGTCTCCTGCGGCCGGCGTTGGAAAGCTATAGGGATATTATCCCGCTCCTGCAGCTGGCGCTCCAACTCATTGACATGGGACAGCGGTGCAGTGTCTGTAGTGGACTCATCGCTCTCCCGCAGCTGGTGCTGCACAGCGGCCAGGGCATTCTCCCGCTCCTGCAGCTGGCGCTCCAATAATTCATTGACCTCCTTACGTTCTCGTAGTTGGGTCTCCAGTACCGCCACGGTCTTTGCACTTTCCTTCAACTGGCGGTCAAGCTCGTTGATGCGAGCCAGTGACGATCCGTCTTCATTAGCCGCTGCGCTTCCGTTCATTATGGGAGTAACCTCTCCGTGTGACTTTGTACTTCGGTTGTGTTCGCTTGTTGTGTCGAAAGGAACGTCGTGGCACGCCCCTGACCCAGAAAGGTCCTCCCTCGACGCATCACATATCTGTGCTCGTGCCTGCGTTGTGCTCAAAAGTGCGCGGCACTGCTGCCCGGTGAGTATTATAATGTCGTCTTGCGGTGGAGCAGGGCCAAAACTGCACAAGATGCTTGAGTGCAGAATGGTGCGCCGCTCATGGCGTGAGGAGAAGCGCCACGGCCGCCGTGCCATGCGCCTGATGGCGGCCATGCTGGCGCCCTCCTCATACGAACACGCGCGCAGAGCTTCGTGTGCGGCGTTGCTTTCACCCGTCGCCGCCGCCATCGCCGCGGCGCGGCCGGCCGCGCTGAAGAGGGGAGAGTTGAGTCCCTCCGCCGCCTGGAACTTCTCCCACAAATCATCCATTTGCTCATTAAGCATCGTAACGCGCGCGCCCTCCTCCTCCAGCAGCTTTTCCATCACCTCGATCTCGGAGTTGCGGCGCTCCTGGAAGGAGTTGATGTGCTTGCGCCGCTCGCCGGTGCCAACCACCTGCACGTGCGCCACCACCCACCGGTACAGCTGCGCAAGCGCCTGGCTGCCCTTCACCGCCTCCTCGTACGAGAACCGCGGCGTGTCGATGTAGCGCTGCACCACCTCGTTGCGCAGTGCCGGCGGCATGTCATGCGACTCAAACTCCGCCAGCAAGTTGGCCATACCGGGGCGGTGTATCACCGGCAGGATCTCGTTCCACGTGCGTCGCCGTTCGCCCATGATGAGCAGCACCGCGCTCATCACACGCACCACGATGTCCGGCGGCGTCCGGTACGACGCCAACTCGCGCCAATGCCGCGCATCGATCTTCGACACCGCCGTGCGCACATCGCCGAGCTGCTCCTCCGCCTGCATCATGGCTTCTTCCACCTCACGCTGCTCCGCCATGAAGGCCTCGCGCTTCTCGCGGATTTTCTCCACACGCTGGTCGGCATCCACCACGGTCTGCATGAACTGCTGCTGCAGCCGTTCCATCTTCTCGAGGATGCACTTGCCCTCCTCCGTTTGGACGGTGAGGGACTCGCTTCCCACCCGCGTGGTCTGCGTCAGTCGCTCCACCTCGATCGTGCGGCTTTCCGTTGTGCCAATAACAGTCGCTAGTTCGCAGCGCCAGGCACATGTAGCGATGTCGAGGAACTCGTATGCGATGAGGTCGCCGGCGTTGACCTTTGCGAGACCCGGCAGCTGCTCCTCCGCCACTGTCAAAGTATCATGCATGGACACATGTGGAGGTCGTGGGGGAGTTTTTGTCACTTTTGTTGGCGTGTGCTTGTGCTCACGCTCCCTCACCACCATATCCGTGTTGAGGGGAAACCCCCCTATCGGTTGTTTCTTTCCTTTTTCGTGTATATATATTTATATATGTCTTCTCGTTTGCTCGACTGGCCCTCTTCTTGGCACGCGGAGGGGCGAGTGTGTTATTCCGGACTACGCGCAACACACACGTGTGCAGTGTATAGCTGATGTGTAGTATATGTCTCAGTGTGTGCACGGATATGCGAGCCTCCTTCCACAGCAGGGCGCCACACAAAGAAGAAAACGAAGGGATATGAATAAGCGCACACACACACACATATATATATATATATCATGAATAATAGCAAACATAGAAGCAGAGGCACCGTCCAGCTCCCCCACCCGCTTCGGTGTGCCGCACTCCCGACAAGTCAGTCGTTGTTTTTTTTTTATTCGCGTTATATAATGCACGTCCTCTCTGTGTTCTTCCCTCTCCCGGCTCAGACTCCCAGAGGCCGCAACAGAAACAGCAGCAGCAGCAGCAGCAGCAGCATACACAGACACCAGTGTGTGGGAACAATAGAACGGCGACATCACACGCGCTGCCCACTCGCGCGGTCGTACAGCCGCGTGATGGCCTCCATGACGAGGCGGATGCGGTACGTAATGCGCAGCGCCTCCTTGCTCAGCCGCGCCGCCCGCTCCCGCAGGAGTCGCTCCTTCTTATGCAGAAACTCACAGGCCTCGGCAGTGGACATGGGGAGCACAACGCCGCAGCCAAGATTCACCAACACACGCGACGCGTCGGCGATGGTGCACTGCACAAAGAAGTGATTTCCAATGTCGACCATGATTTGATTACGCTGCGGCACCTCCCCCGGGGGCGCTGCCACGGGAGCAGCAGGCGGTGATGACGGTGACCCACCGTCCTTGATGAAGGAGTGCGTTGCGGAGAGTGCCCGCATCTCCTCGAAGAGATCGCGCAGCTGGCAGCACTGCGACGCCATTTCGTACACCACGTCCCGCTTCTGCAGCACCTTCGCGAGGGATTGTCGAAGCACGTTGTCGAGGAAGTGCTCGAGGCGGATCATGCGGCCTGTGGCCGTGTCGCACGTGGCAGGCGCACTGCTACTGCTGTCTGCTGACATCGGCCCACCAAGCAACAACAACAACAACAACAGCAGCAGCGGCAACAGCGGCAACAGCAAGGGCAACAAGGGTGCTCTCCTCAGTAGGCACTGTCACCTCTACACGAGACGTGCAATGAGTGAATAAGTGGCGAAGGAGAGAGAGAGAGAGAGTGGAGAAAGGGAGAAGTGCGATGCGTACACGTACGCAGGCGCAGCAAAGAAGAGAAAAAGCAGAGGCGCAACTGTAAGATGCAGAGATGTTTGAATGCACAATAAGGCACAGCAGCAGCGCCGCCGCTGCCACCACCACCCCCACCACCACGAGCTCTCCCTCCTCTACCGACTTGAGAACCCAAACTTACCAAAAGGTATTAGGACACAAGATCACAGCAAAGGCAAAGACTACAGAATACTCACATTCAGGTCGTATTGCTCATATATGTCTCCTTTCCTTCGTCATCCCATCACTACTCGCTATCCCACTGCCTCTCTGCTGCTCAGTGGCCTACTGCTGTGAACATCATGGCAGTGTGAGGGGGCATCAAGCGCTTCAGCGAGTCGCGGTCGGCCAACAACAACACGCCAAGTGGGTAGTATTGTTGTCCTTCTTGTTGCGGGTTCAACGCCCCGCTTGTGCCCGATGTGCGGACAGGCCTTCCAGCGAGTGTGCCCTCCTGCAGCAGCTCCTCCAGCGCTACCCACACCGCCGGCGGCAGCTGCGAGGCCTCTGGCAGAAGCCACACGTGACACATTGGCGCAGCAGCGGACCCTTTACGCCGCCCCCGCCGCCGCCGCGACACAAAGGCACCGCTGCCGCGTATCGCCCAATCATCACCGTCAACACTCTTCGCCTTTTCCTTCTCCCCCTTGCCACGAGCGACATCGTCCTCGAGCTGCTGATGCAGCGCGTCTACCGCCGACATCCCCTCAGGCACGTGCAGCGGCTGCAGCTCATGCAGCGCCAGGCAATTGGCGTATTTGGAGCGCCACGGGTCCATGAAGTCACTGGCAAAGGCGGGAGTCACGCGCCAGTGAATGCCGATGAAGGGCCTGCTGCTGCGGCGCAAAGCCCCAAGGAGATGGGCGTCGGCAAAGATACCGGTTAGACACAAGCATGGTGAGTCGCGTCGTGTGTTCGTCGACAGGGCGTCCCACACTGTGTCTTGATACAGCAGCGCAATGGCGAGGAAGAGGATGGCGAAGGCGCTTACCGTGCTGCGGCGCACGAACATCGACGACACGAACAGCTCTTGGCGTTGCTGTTAGCCCTCGTGCGGGTGAAAGCAGCACGTCCCGCCCCGCCAGAGACAGACAGACAGACAGACAGATAAGGTGGGAAGCGTGCAGCACGCACCGCAGTGCCCCTCTCCCCAAGCTTCTCTTTCCTCTCGCTTCCACGCTGCGTGGGCGGGCACGGACGCATGCACACCCGTGCCCCAAGGCAAAGCAAAACGAAAAAAAAANAAAAAAAAAAGAGAGAAAATGTATGGGCATCCATGACTCTCCCCTTTTTCCTTCGTCTCGCCTCGCAACTGCATTCACAAATCATCGTTAAGAGTGTGTGGGCCTTTACCGTCCTCAGCGCTCCCACCGCGGCTTCCGCCTGCGTCTTCCTCTCCCTCAGCAGCGGCTGCAGGAGGAGGAGGAGGAGGAGGAGGCGTGCTACTGGGGACCTCCGCACTCACCGCGGCCACATCTTCCTCATCGTGCGGGCCGCTCTCGTCTGTGTGGAGGACAATCTCTGCGGCTCTCATGTCAAGGTGGAAGCGGGCCCACATGAGCCGGTCATACCCATGTGCGTCGAAGTACCGCAGCACCAGCGGCACCAGTGTGTCCTCCACGGCGCGTCGCAGCGCGTGACCATTCTCCTTGCCCTCCCACATCTCGCGGTGGCGCTCCACGAGGAAGGCGACCGCGACGTCCTCGATGCTGCTCGCCACCACATGCCCACCGCCCAACTGCGCTGTGCACGGCAGCGCCGCAACAGCATTGTGCACCATCCGCTCCGCCGCCCGCCGCGTGAAGGAGACGAACACCATCGTCCGCGCATACGCGGGCACCAGCGTGCCGTACAGACTGGCAAACTCGTCACGCACCATCTGCTGCACCTGCACCAGGCTGCGCCCCCACGTGCGACCCTGGCGGCCGAAGTCCGTCGTGGCTATAACCGTCAGCTGCGTGAGCGACGGCACGTCATGCGGCTGCTCCGCGAAGCGCTCCGCTCGACCAAAGAGCGGCGCGAGCGCCGCCACGAGGTTCGGGTGCATCGCCGAGAGATCGTCGAGCAGCACGATGCCGTGCGGGTACAGCCGCTGGTGCGCNGCCGCCACGAGGTTCGGGTGCATCGCCGAGAGATCGTCGAGCAGCACGATGCCGTGCGGGTACAGCCGCTGGTGCGCCGTCACGAGCGTTACAATTCTTTTCCGCGCGTCGGCGACCGGCAGGCCGTCATAACCGGTGCCGGACACAACCAACAGGTTGTCGCCCGCATCGCACTGCGGCCGCGACACAGAGCAGCGCAGCGACGTGGCGAGAGACAGCAGCCGCGCCGTGTACGTCTTGCCAACGCCGTTGTCGCCCGCAAAGTGGAGAACAAGCGGCTCACGCGGGTTCGCAAGTTTGCGCCGCATGGCATCCACAATAGCGCTCGTCACGTGCTCCTGCCCAACGACGTGTGTGAGAAGAAGCTCCTCCACATCCTCCATCGCTCTTCGCCGCAGCTTTTTATTTGTGTCGAAGGGCAACTCTCGCCGCGCCACCACGGAGGGAAGGGACGATGGGAGACAGTAGAACAGCTTCGTCATCAGCGGGACGCCGCCCACGGAGCAGATGGGGCATCGGGGGCACGTCCACTGCGTCATTGGCACTGTCTCGGCTGCCGCATCGCACAACACCGGCGTTTCTGCGGGGATGAGAAGCAATACCACAACGGTAGCAGCAGCAGCAATGGCGGCAGTCGCAGAAGACCTCGGACGAAACAGTCGCATACAGCAATGATAATGATGATGATGATGATAAGAATAATAATACTGTAGGTGAATTTATATGTCTCTCTTCCTCCCTTACACGCTATCACCCACAACCCTTTCTTAGTGGAGCCGCGCCGCTATTTGTGTATCTATGTATGTATGTAGGTACGTATGGCTGTGTGCGTGTGTCTACGTTTATGGTACTCCTTTGACTTCCTACCACGCGGCAGAGCACGAGATGAGGGAAAGAAAGACGGGAAGTAGAGCAGCAAGAAGACGTACGCACGTGCGTATATGTATGTATGCTAACGGAGGCTGTAATGCAAAAATTCAAATACCGCAAACGCCCATTTCTCCGTCACTCCCTCTCTCCAGCAACCTGCTGCCTGTAAGTTCGTCACCCCGGCCCCTAACAGCTTCCTTTGTGCAATATGCACGCACACGTGCTTGTCTTATATGTATGTGTGAAGAAATGTACGCAAGCAACCGCGGATATTGTGTGTGTGTGTGAAAGTATTTAGCTGGGCGGCCTCTGCGGCGGCCCAAAGTTGTCACCGCCGGGGTACGGGTTCTGCGCCCCGTTCGCCACTGACGTGGACGCAATGCCGCCCACGTCATTCCACACGCCCTGCGCCGCGCTGTGGGAGCCGAACTTCGCGCGGCCGCCCTTTCGCCGTGCGAGCTGGCCGCGGCGG